GTAAATTATTCATACCCAGCGGCTAGCAATTGGCTCACTAGCCGTATAAAAGCTTGGGTAGTTTCTGCCCAAGCCGGAGAACTCTGCGTGTACGTTGGGAATGAGTTCCTTGTATACCTTGGAGCAAAATTGGAAGCCTGATCAACCACCAACCACTCCCCGTTGCCGACCATCCCGACGTACCCCGCACCCTGCATGCTCGGAAAACATCGGTGTGCCACCCAGTTTCTGTAACGGAGCATGCCTACACTGGGTGCATCGACGCAAGTCCCTGTACGTCAGTTTGTAAGTAAAGTTCTTTTCAATTCAACCAGTACGCGTTTGTGCCTAATTCCACTCCATCGGTGCGGCCCCAATTCCGGCTATACTCGGCCCCCACAAAAGCCTTCCTGTGGAGACCATCTGTGAAGTCAAGCATTCATCTCCAGAATTTATCCATCCCTGAATGGACATTGACCTTCCAACTGAAAGAACTGATGAGAGGTATCCTGTATTCACAACTCCTTTACCATACTCCCACATCCTAGTATTCACTTTGGAACTGATCAGCGGGTTTTCCATTTCCCATGGAAAAATAGAGAAAACCATGGATTTCCCCTTTTATCAGAGGAAAACGAGGATTTCTCCTTTTAGCTGAGAAACCCGTGGATTCCCTGCTTTGCAAACACTCTGCAGGCTGGTTGAGCTCCAGCCTGCAAGGGCCGCTTGCAAACAGTGGGAAACCTCCAGCCCTGCCCAGAGGGGGAGGGCAGGGCCTGAGGGTCTCATCCAGCCATGGCTCTGGTCTGCTCAGCTCAGCCTCGCTCTTCTAGAGCCTGAGGTAAGTGGGGCTTGCAGGGGCCCCCTCTGGCAGGGCTGGGGGGTTGTGGGTCATAGCTGGGGGGGGTACCAGTAGGGCTGAGGGGGAGCCAGGAGCTGGCCCTGCCCCCACCTGAGCAGGCAGAGCAGTGGTGGAGTCTGGTTCCATGCTGTTTCTGCTGCAGCTGCCTGCTGTTGGGGACAGGAAGCTGCAGACTTAGGGCCCTGGCCCCATAGCACTAGTAGCTAGGGGCCCCTCCAGCAGGGCTGGGGGTTAAAAACTGTGGGCAGGGGGGCAAGAGGCATGAGTAAGGCAGGGGGCTGTTGTGGGGGCAGTGAGGAGCACCAGCAG